TCTCTCCCTATTTATTTCAGAACCCCCTTCCCCTCCCCCATTTCTGAAGAAGGGTCTAGGCCTGAAACGTCAGCCTTCCTGCTCCTATGAAGCTGCTTGGCCTGCTGTGTTCAACCAGCTCTACGCCTTCTTGAGCTAAAATCAACATTGTTATAAAATTCAGATTGGAATTTCCTGTTTGAATCACAACTTTCTGGAAGTTTTAGATATTGGGATGAAAGTCATTTCCAGATGATCCAGCTTGAGAAAACAATGCAACCAGGCCAGGAACACACAAGTGAACAGTATTTCAGACAGCAGCTTTTGGACACAAAGAGAAAAAATGGATTAGTAGCAGTTGCACCGGAAGACTCTCTCTCCCTCCCTCACTATTTCTCTTGACCTCTTGGAAACAATGCCCAGTGATAAAGTATTTGAAGAGATATCCATCCACCAAGAACTCAAAGATATTTGAAATTCTTGTCACTGCTGAGGATACAAATTATCAAGTGAATGATCATGGTCTCAGGTTAAACCTAATGCGTCATTGACATTAGGAGTTTTTATTTAAACTGACAAATCTTGATTTACTTTATATTCTCCCCTTTACAAACTTTATACTAGCATGTGCGTGTGTGTTTGATGTTGTGTTTTATTCTTTTGAATGGTTTTAACAAGTAATTTAATTATTTTTTCTTCACTCAAGAAAACGTCATAATTGGCTCATTCATTTTGATCTGGCAAACTACATTTTAATTAAAATGTGATATAGCTACGTACTTAAAATTTTTGCTGTGGCTAATTATGTGAATTAAAAAGACAGAAGTTGATTCACTCCTCCTCACCCAGTCATAAAAATCCATACACACACACAGGCACGCACACGTACGTGCACATGCACATGCACATGCACGCGCAGACACACACACATCACACATGAACAGATAGTCACATGTGCACATAGATATACAAGAACACACCCAGGCATTAGTGAACACACACACACACACGCACACACGCGCACACGCACACAAGCTGGTGCCACACCCACAATAGGTAAAGGAAAACATGTCGTCTCTCTTCTTACCATTTGGTTGTTGGACGCAATGGACTGAGAGCAAACATTCCGTGAGACACTGCCCACATCGGTCAGCCGATGCTCATCATCATCCCACCTTCCGTATGCCAAGTCAATGCCACCAACAAATGCAACTGACTGGTCAATGACGACAATCTTCTCATGGTGTGCCCACAGATATACAGAGGAGGAGACATGGTCTGGGTGTCTCATCACCTATCAGTGCACAATTAGCAAAATGTTCAAGATTCATCAAAACTGATGTGGGAAATAATGGGAATGTTTGGAAGAGTTTCACATGCGGAAGCACATTTCCAGAACTTGGCCAAAGTACATTTAGGACCTCATTAATGTGCCATATTTCTAGTAGCAGAAGTTGTGGGTTTGAAATGGTTTGGAAAGATACAGAGGCATTAAGCAACCCAGATTGTGAGGTTGTAACCAGCAGGAAAGATTGAACAGGTTGGAATTCTTTCCACTCGAGAAATGAAGACTGAGGGGTGACCTGATAGAGAAACAGGATTGATCAGATAAACATGGAGAAAATATTTCCATGTGGGAAGGAGACCAGAACAAGGGGCCATAGAGATAAGACAGTCACTGATAACAAAAACAAAGTTGCTGGAAAAGCTCAGCAGATCTGGCAGCATATGTGGAGGAGAAAACAGAGTTAACGTTTCGGGTCCGGTGACCCTTCCTCAGAACAGTCACTGATAAATCCAATTGGAAATTCAGGAGAAATGTTGTTACCCAAAGAGTGGTGACAATGTGGACTACTCGACCATAGGAAACAGTTGAGGCAGGGATACATTGAAGTGGGAATCTAGATAAATGTATGAGGGAGAAACAAATAGAAGGATTTACAGATTGGATGAGAGATTGGATGATATGGAGAATATATATCAACAGGCACCAGACAGATTCAATGGTCTGTGTTATACTACTGAAAAACATTGTGTCTTTCATTTCCAACACCAACATCTGGAGATGTATGCTGAACCGCTTGTTTCACACCACAAGACAAAGGCAACGCACCTTAATGTTGGGGTGAAGATGCATTAGTGTCCGCTTGCTATATTCACTGTTGATGCCGAGAGCAAGCTCCACCTCTTTGTAGAGAATCACAAAAATCTTCACCCCTTGTTGCTGCCGTGATAGGAAGGGAGAAAAATCAATTCAAACCAGCATCACTTCATCTATCGACAATAATCACAAAATACACATGGAATCACAAATCACATTCGGGTGGCTTGGGGGATAAATACTGCCCAGAACACGGAGGAGAATATCACTGCTCTTCCTGGAAATACATCCACCTGAGAAGGCAGAGCGAGCTTTGGTTTAATGCCCCACCTGAAAAAAATGGCTCCTCTGACACTATAGCACACACTCAGTGCAGGCATCAAGAGTGTCAGCTTGGATAATAGGCTCAAGTCTCTGATGTGGGGCTTGGGCAAGTGACCTCTTGACTGAATGGCATGACCAACACCCAATGGAGAAGGTTGAGGCCACAGGATCTACTCCCCACTATGGGCATTATCCTGACACAGGAGAGTTTGAGAAGGGAGAAGGTAAAGGGCAGTCAGCAAGCCACCCTCCCTTGCTCGATTAACATGATTAAAGACGATCTAAGCCACAGGCAGTGCGTGTGGATTTGCTCTATAAGACCCACAGGTACAGACACATTGGAGAAGAACTCACAGCTTTGCGTTTGAGTACGTAGTCCAGCCTCCAATAATTCCCTTCCACCACGGGCCTCTTGAGAAAGATTTCCGGACTCAGCCTGGGAACCCACATGTCAAAGAGCAGAAGAGTGTTAAAACAGTTAATTTTCAGAACTAGAATTCCATCTCAGTTCTGAAACTAATCACTGCTGCAGGACTAACCCACAGGAAGTCAGCAGGGCTGTGGGACCTCACTGTCACTGGGGAATGTTGAGACAAGTATGTTAACAGCAAATGAGATTTGTCACCCAACTCAATCCTATCCTTTGCCAACATCCACAAGGACAAAAAATATTTTTATAGTACACTTAACAAACTTGGAGAATGGCATTTCCCAGGAATGTTTACCACCGAAAATTAGATACCAAGTCACATATGAAAGTAATTAAGAAACTGTTCAGCATTTGTCAGAGTCAATGTTGAAAGCCTGTTTCACCCAGGATGCAAAGTCTAGACTAGGGAGTCACGGGTCATATTCAGGGGTCAGCATTTTGGAATTGGAGGAGGAGAAGTTTCTTCCCTCAGACGGTTATGTAGTTTTGGAATTCTCTATCCATTGGAGCTGTGGTTGCTCAGTAGTTGCATACATTCAAGACAGAGGTTGGTCAATGTTTAAGAATTAAGCAAATCAAAGCATTGGGGATTTGAGGCCACAATTAAACCAGTCATGATTTTATTGAATGGCAGATCAGGCTTGAGGGGCCATTACTGTTCCTAATTCCTATGAGGTTGGGTGAACAAAAGTTTGGTCTACGAAGAAGGTTTAAAGTAGCCCTCAGTAGCACATGAGGTACAAAGGAAGGCTTCCTGCTCCTGAGCCAGCAATGTTTATTTCCCGGTTGCTTTTTAACAATGTGCAACAATACAAACTGAACCAGCCTTTGGTGCATTGACAAAACCCAAAGTAAAAAGAGGAAAGGTAATTTAATCACCAACATTACGTCAAAGCAGTGGTCTACGTACCACCAATCTGTGATGAATATTTCCTCTCTTGCATCTTCCAAAGCATCTGCCAAATCTTCAAAGTATCCTTTAGCGTTGACATACCTGTGAATAAAGGGAAGACAGCTTAAAAGGCTTTCATCCTGGGCAGCATCTCTTCATATCTCAGACTTGAAAGATAGTAAGGTGAGCCAGTGGGGCAGTAAGTAGTTTGCGGAGGGGTAAGGATTAGAGAGTGCAGGGAGCGAAGCTGAGCCAGTGTGGAGTGGTCAGGGGGTGAAAGAGCAAGAGCGAGAGGTGGTGGATAGAGAAGTGTAAAGGTGTGGGTTGGGCAGAGAGGAATATTGGTTGATCAGCTGAAAATGTTCTCCCTCTTAAGATTTAATGGACTCTTGCTGTGCTGGTACTTTCCATCACAGCCACATTTAGGAATCAAAATATATAGTTTCCTGTATAGTGCTCTCTGATTGGTTACCATTTGCATAGTGTATTTTCATGCACGGCTCCAAAGGATTTGAAACGCTGGTCTTCAAGGAAGGCTTTAGCATGTTTCTGAATTAACTCTTCAATCTCTTGACCCCACCAGCGAGCATGACGGTAATTGTTGCATTTGATGATCAAAGTCCTGAATTAGAACAGAAAGAACATCATCCAATCAATGTTTCAATGTCTGTCAATACTAACCCTCTGACAGTGCGGCACTCCCACAGCACCGACCCTCCGGCAGCGCGGCACTCCCACAGCACCGACCCTCCGGCAGCGCGGCACTCCCACAGCACCGACCCTCCAGCAGCGCGGCACACCCTCAGTACCGACCCCCCATCTGTGTGGACCACCCTCAGTACCGACCCCCAATCTCTGTGGACCACCCTCAGTACTGAACCCCATCTGTGTGGACCACCCTCAGTATTGACCCTCCATCTGTGTGGACCACCCTCAGTACTGACCCTCCATCTGTGTGGACCACCCTCAGTACTGACCCTCCATCTGTCCAGATCTCCTTCAACACACCTTCCAACCAAGCAGACCACCCTCAGTTTTGTTTTAAGTATGTCAGCTTGAACCTTCTTCTGTCATCCTTGAACTCTCAGCTTTTCCCACGGTTCAGAGATTCTTAACCACTGGGTTACAACAAGCTGGAGGGGCCATTTATTGTTTGGCTCCAGTTACCTCAAGTGCAGTCATACGATACATTAAAATTTTCTGAAAAAAACTCTGCTGAATTGGGTTAATGAGGCAGTGTCAATGATATGAATTGCTCTCTGTACACACTTAATGATTTCTCAGTAGCAACAAAACTTATGATTAAATGTTCCTGGATTCAACAAAAAGCAATCAATAATCTCCTAGAAATATTTCCTCTTCATTCTTCCATCTGTACAGACCTTTCCAGGTAACCAATTGTCGATTAAATTTTCGATTTTTGGATTCATCCTGCCACATTGGACCTTAATGTAATTATGAATTTACACAGTCCTGTGTCATGATTGACTTTACTCCTGTCAATATTTGTATGATGCATCTGTAAATTGATATCGCCTTGGGAACCGAACCATAATACCAAACAGAACGAGTCAGGCTGACCCTGGTAGCTATCAATCTTTGGCCAGTTATCTCTCTGGAATGTTCAATGGAAATTCCTTGTAGATTAAAGAGGGAAGATTGTGTCATTGTTACTTTAGGGCATGCTGGCTACATATTCTCCTCACATCCATCATCATCCCATGAGGCTGATAATGATTCATTGGGCGAATCTCTGGAGGTGACTTCCAAAGGTTGATTCCAACTCGACAACCTTTAGGTCTTCGGAGATTTAAATGCAGCGGCCCAAACACGTCATACTATTCCATCTGGGCTTAGTCCAGTGTTTCATTCAAGTCCACTACAACAACAGCAACTTGCATTCACGCAGCATCTTTTAATAAAGTAAAGCATCCCAAGCAAGTCACAAGAACATTACCAAACACAATTTGCCAGCTGGGAGTGGGTTATGGTTAAGTTTTAGCTCTCTTTTGTAGCCTGAAGCTATGGACAGAGATGGAAGAATCTCCAATTTCCTTCCATTACTCAGATGACTGGGAATTTCTCCCACTCTTACTGCCTGTCATTGGATGTACTGGAAGGATTTGCAGTTTGGTACTCAACCTGTTGCACTACAATGAGTGAATCTACATTGGCCTGCAGTGAACCGGGCTGGTGAACTTTTGTTGCACTCCCTCTAGGGCAATAATATCTTTCTTGTAGTAAGGTGACCAAGACCTGTACACAGAACCCCACCAAAAGCAGTGTGATAATAATGGGATCTAGTGATTTTGGTTCAGGATCACAGGGAGAGCTTCCCCTGCTGTTCCTGGGTTTCTGACCATGAAACAATCCACTATCAGCTGAGAAGACAACGAGAATCTCAGTTTATCATTCCATCCACAAGACAGCACTTCCAATTGGCGGCATTCCCACAACACTGCACCAAGTATGTCAGCTTAGTGTAGATGCTCAAATAGAGTGGGGTTTGAACCCATTACCTTTCTGACTCTGAGCCAAGGTTACTTCCCTCTGAGCCATGACCATCGATCCATCGTTGGTGTGACGAAATGAAGATGGCCTGTGTCATACCTGGATAAATTGTCGATTCTGATGCCATATTTTGTCTCAGTGTCTTTGGCTCCCAATTTGATGCTGAATTCTTTGTCCACGAGTAGAACAAAGGCAATAGCTCCTGAGTCTGGTTTCATGTACAGGAGGAAGGAATCTTTCACTACCAGCCATCTGCGGGGACAAAGTATAGAAATTGTACTTAGATCAGAAACTACCGACATCTCCATGTCCTGTGGAGCACATAGCTTCAATAGTTCTAAAAGGAAATGATTGAGACAGACCTCACAGGTGACTGCAACAACAACTCGCATTGAGTGTAAGGAGCTCACTCTGGTATCTGTTGCTCACCCTCTCCTGCCTAAGCCCAGCTGCTGATGAGACCCACATCCGCCTCTTTGCTACCTCCACACTTCATCTATTTCTGTAGTCTCCTGACCAATACCCCCCACCTTCCAGACTCCTTTGACTTCAATTCATCCAAAACACTGTCACCCATCTCTTAACTTGCATCAAATCCCATTCACCCACCACTCCCTGTGGTCTCTGACCTACAGGACTCCGGCAACACTTCAACAATAGAATTTTCATGCATGGTTACAAATTACTGTGTGGCCTCATCCTGTCTTAAACCTCTCTGATTTTTCTGCTCTCTTCCCTTTCTGGCCTCATGCACATTCCTGATTTGAAATGCTCTACCACTGGCAGCTGTGCCTTCAGCTGCCTGAGTCCAAGGCTCTGGAATTCCTTGCATATCCACCTTCCTCTGTCTCAGTCCACTTTCAGGCCTATCACAGCAACTGAGGTTTTAGTGGCTTATTATAATGCGATTTTGCTTGATAATCACTTCAATGAAGGGCTTTGGGATATTTTTACTGGTGTTACAGATGTTATATAAATGCAAGGTGCCATTGTTGTTGAACTAGTGAGCGTTGTTCAAGACCATTGATTGAAGCTGCTATCATGAGCACTGCCTTTCTCTCTATGGATGACACACTAATTAACAGAAGCCCTAACAAATGCCCATGTTACTTACCTCTTGGACCAACGATAACAGACTTGACTTCTCCCGCAACAGTTGAGGCCTGGAATCCTGTGTCCCCCAGAACGTTTCATCACATAACCTTCCCTATAAACAAGAAGGAATTTTAATTAATTTCCAATGATCCCCACAAACAAGGGAACGTCTCTAACACAAGAGAGGGTCAATTTCTACTTTTAGGATATGGGTGATGGAATTAATTTTGAATGAAGATTGGGGTAGGCCCATCAGCCCCTCAAGTGTGCTCCACCATTCAGTAAGACCATTGATCCTCACCTATCAGTGATAATCTTTCACTCTCTTCGTTAATAAGTGTCTATTCATCCAACACTTGATTGGTTTTTCTAATTACTAGCTGTGAGCTAGTGATAGGACATTGTTTCCCCTCTGGTCACCTGGTTTGCTAAGGACTCCCCAGCTATTGGGAGTGAATGTCAATGACACTGTTGAAAATAAAGTGTGGGGACAGCCCCAGGCTAATGTTCTGGGAAATTCGGTTCAAATCTCACTGTGGCAGATGTGAGATTTTGAATTCAACAAAAAGCTGGAATTAAAAGCTAGTCTATTGTAAACAAAAAACATGTAACTACAGTCAATTGTCATAAAAAATAATTTGATTCACTAGCGGCCTTTAGCGAAAGGAATCTGCCATCCTTATCTAGAATGGCCTATGTGTGACTCCAGACATAGGAATAGAGAAAAGGGAGAGGAATAGGCCATTCGGCCCTATGTGTCTGCTAAGCCATTCATTTGGATCAACTAAATAGCCTACTCCATATCCTTTGATCCCTTTAGCCCCAAGTGCCATATTCAACTTCTTCTTGAAATTATGCAATGTAATGTCCTTGACTGCTTTCTGTGGTAGAGAATTCCATAGGCTCACCATACTCTGGACGAAGAAATTTCTCCTCGTCTCAGACCTAGGTGGTTTATCCTGTACTTTTAAACTGTGACCCTTGTTTCCGGACTCCCCAGCCATCAGAATCATATCTCCTCTGTTTGGTCCTGTTATACCTGTTAGATTTGATTGGTTAGTCACTCAGCAAGCCACTCATTTCCAGAGCAATTAGGGATGGTCAGCGACATTCACTCCTCCTGAATGAATAGCAGAAAAGGAAAATAACTGGGGCATTGAAAGGAAATTGTTTCTAGCAGATTTTCTTTGAATACTTTTATTATTAATTGTAAAATTATTGGGGATTGGAAAGGACAAACTGAAAATTAAGAAGTAGCCAATCAGGTCTGATTGGTTGCGTGTCAGATGAACATGTCAGTCAGCGAATGGCAGCAGTGTGGGCCAGGCAGTTGGAGAGCAGACATTGGGTGATCCTGTATGTCCATTTGAGTTGGCAACCAAAGTTATGTATCTGATTCCATTTCCAAAGACAAATCATCTCTGTTTCTCTATGCAGTTTCGGCCCCTCAGTGAGATTGACAGGACCGACAGGAAGTCACTGACCATCACTAAGTTTCACCTCAGCTTTCACACACACACTCAATCTCTCTCTCACCCTCATTCATTCTCTCTCTTTCACACACACACACTAACGCTCACACACACATACTTGCTCTCTCACACACACACACACACATATTATCTCTCTCTCTCTCACAAACATACTCACACTCTTTCCTACACGCACACACACACTCTCCCTCACTCAAACACACATTCTTATGCAAACATACTCACACAGTCTCTCACACACATTCTCACATACATACTCTCTCCCACATACACTCTCTCACATTGTCTGTCTCACTCTCACACACACACACAAACTCATCCATACCCTCAATCTCTCATACACACACACACGCATACACTTTCTCACATACACACACTCTCTCTCCAACATAGACACACTCACTCTCTCCCCGACACATTCACTCTCTCTCTTTCACACACATGCATTTTCTCACACACACACTTTCTCCCACACGAACACAATCTCTCTCACACACACACACTCAAGTCTGTCTGTATTCTCACAGTCATCCATTGGGAGGCTCTATTTGAAGATATGTGGTGATTGGAAAATGACGGCTAACACAGATATAGAGCAGGGCTGGAACTGAGGCTCTGATGAACTCCCTTGAAATTTTCTCAGTCAGAAACCCACAGAATAATACAACACAGAATGAGGCCATTTGGTTCATCATGCATATGGTAGTGTTTTGAAACACCGAAAACTATCATCTACTTCATCCATGCAATCCTGCCAATTTTCCTGGCCATGTTATTATCCACACTTCTCTTTTGAAAGTTACTATCACTTCAATTTCCTTCGAAAATCCAAAAGCATCTTAATCCACTTTATAAAAAACAATTCATCTTATTTGGTTTCTTTTGTCAATAATGTCAAATCTTTGTCAGTCTGATTACTAACCCGTCTTGGCTACATGATCAAAACCCTTCATGATTTGAAACCACTTCACCTTAAACTTCCTTTTTGATGCAACTGAGCGATCATCAGAGAAGAGAGTCAGAAGTCAGGCATATTGGTGTTGGTCAGGAGTAAGCTATCGGTCCACATGTGGTAAGGATGGCAAATTTCTTTCCCAAAATGAATTTTAGGGAAGTTGTTGGGTTTTCATGACAATCTGACAGTTTCTTGGTCACATTTACTGAGATCAGGAGCTAGATTTTCACTAGATGTGGGTTTGGGACCTGATGGGGAGGCAATTTGAAAACCGCAGCCAGGGAAATTGGCTCAGGACTCTTACTGTTTCAAGGCATTTTATAATTTTCAAAGCGCGGGTAGGTGTAATGAACAGGGAAGGCACAAGATGTCAATTAATGAGCCATTATACTCCTTAAAGGTTAAGGTTTCTGCTTTATTTTGGGGAACTGGAACAGCCTAGTATATGTTAATAGACAGCTGTCAAAGCTAGTTCCAGTTGATCTGGCTTTGCTGTTTGTAACCTGCTTTTTTCTGGGGCCTACCCAAGGTGCGTGCCCTGGGTCATCATTTCCCCTGAATGGCCCTTTCCAACCTCAACATTAGTTGGCCTTTTGAGGAACTGCCCGCTATAAAATGCAAGACTATGGCAGTCTCCAACATGGATGCCATCTGCCTTTACCACTGGTGGCGAACAAACAGTTCCTGCCTCCATTTGTGCAGTAAGATTTCTGTGATTGTGTAATTCTTGATCTTAGTGACACCCTGGCTCAAGTTTTTCTGGGATGCCAGAGTAAGAAATATGTTATTAATCTTACAGGAAAGGCTGTGTGAGGGGGATAGCAAAGGGAGTGGGAAGTTCAAGTTGCCATAACACATGCAATAGGCCAAATGTTCAAAATCTCTATCTCCATAATGATTCATGAAGTGTAACAGAGCTTGAATTGAATTGAATTTGCTTTATTGTCAGAATGCTGAAAGACCTAGTTGAAAGACAGACTAATTCTCACTTACAGGCCCTTAGGTCCCAGATGATGAATGAATGAGAGCTGACTGATGCCAATAAATTCCATCTGTAGAAATAAAAGTCGTAATTTGCATTTATATAGCACTTTTCAAAACCTCAGAACATCCTAAAACATGTTATAGCTGATGAAATGCAGTCACTCTTGCAGTGGAGGAAACTCATAGCTAATATGTGCACAGCAAGCTCCCAGAAGAATTTGCAGTTGCAGTGGGTTCCATCCCTATGCCTGGGTCAGAAGCTCTGGGTTTGAATCCAAATCCAGAACTTGATGACCACACATTCATAATACAATGAAATGTAGAGTGTCAAGCTGTAAAATCCTCCCAGTGACGGGCTGTAAGGGCAGAAGGAATTTCTGGCTGTCACCCTTACTTTTGTCACTGAGCAGCTGGTTGAGTAAACAGTCTGAGAGGGTGACGTTTGGTCATCATTCCCTCTTCATCTCTTCAGAATATGACTGCCTTGTGGATTATCTCTTACCCAACGATATATTCAGCTCCACTGATCATACAGATGGTAGTCTGAATAATTTGCTGGGTATTGTTTCCCACTGACCCCGTTATCTATGTGTGATATCCCAGGCAGCAACAGCAGCATTCCCCTAGTAACCAGAATGAACATATGTACCTTTCACACACGGCCACATTCAGTCAATTTTCGAGAAGAGGGACTGAGCAAGCACTTGGACAGAAGACATTTCAATGGATGTGGGTAATTCAACCAGACCTTCAAATCAAGGTCAGATGTGAAGTTAGGAAACACATCTTCAGACAAAGGCTGGGAGAAGTGTGGAACTATTTTACACAAGTTGTTTCTTCTGGAGGTCAAGTTAAATTTCAAATAAAAATATAAAGGCCTGGCAGCATCTTTGGAGAGAGAAGCAGAGTTAACATTTCGAGTCCAATGACCTTTCTTCAGAACTTCTGCAGCATCCTCAGTTCTTTGTTTTAGAACTGAGGAAGGGTCACTGGACTCGCAACATTAACTCTGTTTCTCTCTCCACAGATGCAGCCAGATCTATTGAGTTTCTCCAGCATTTTCTGCTCTTATTTCAGATTTCCAGCATCTGTGGTATTTTACTTTTTACTTTAAATCTCAGGTGGGCAGATTGTTGCTCAGCATTGCAATATTCCCAATTGGGACATGGTGCCAACATGGATAGAGGGGACTAAAGACCATGAACACTTTGAATTATATAATAAGATTTTTTCTTTATTCATTCATGGGATGAGGGTGTCACTGACCAGGCAGCATTTATTGCCCATCCCTAATTGCCCAGAGGGCAGTCAAGAGTCAACCACATTGCTGTGGGTCTGGAGTCACATGTAGGCCAGGCCAGGTAAAGATGGCAGTTTCCTTCCCTAAAGGACATTTGTGAACCAGATGGTTTTATTCCGACAATCAGCAATGGATTCATGACTCATCATTAGACTCTTAACTCTAGATATTTTACTGAATTCAAATTCCCCTATCTGCCATGGTGGGATTTGGACCCGGGTCCCCAGAACATTATCTGGGTCTCTGGATTAACAGTCCAACAATAATACCACTACACCATTGACCCCCCAGCCTGAATGTTCCTGTGAGCCATTAGATTTCTATTTCACAGTGAGGGAACTTCCATTGAGATAAGAAGTCAGTCTTGCATGGACCCTGATCCATCATTTCATAAGACCACTGATCTATCCCCTCAACTCCACTTTACACTCCTCCTCACCCACCCCAAACCAAGTCTCTGTATGATGTAATTAACTTAATTCAATAAATAATAATGAAAGCACTATTGTGACCCTTCATGGTGAGTCACCTTTCTTGACTTACACAAAATGGCATTCAACTTACTTCCAATATCCTTTTGGATACCAGGTCTTTCTCTCCAGAGATTGTGATTAGATATATTTTCTAACCAACCTGCTCAGAGACATTTTTACAAAACTTTGGGGCAGGTGAGACTTGAACCTAGCTCAGAGGTAGGGACAGTACCACTGCACCACAAGGCCCTCAAAGTCATGATTGCATTCATAATTCCCAAATACCTCCTTGCTATGACCTTCTCTTGATCTAATCATCCTTGCATTTCACAGAAATGGAAAGGGATCAAAGACATTTCAAAACTGTTTGTTGTGTCCTGTTTATGTTTAAATTATCAGGGTCAGGTTGTGAACAGCCTATCTTTCACAGGAAATAATAATCAAGACGCCAGATTCTTCATTTTTAACTTGTGCAAATAAACTGTGAAAAGGAATACTTTATTTTAATCCTCCATCCGTTCTGTGGAAAGCTGTTTGAAGGATCCTGAATCACGATGGTCCAATAGCAGGGGAAGGCCATCTGTGAATGATGGTAGTCAGAGATAGCAGGAACTGCAGATGCTGGAGAATCTGAGATTACAAGGTGCAGAGCTGGATGAACACAGCAGGCCAAGCAGCATCAGAGGAGCAGGAAGGCTGACGTTTCAGGCCCAGACCCTTCTTCAGAAA